ATGATAAGTCAGAGCCAATCCTCCAAGCTTACAATACTAGGCCTAAACACCTGCCGTCTGTGCAAACACTAAAGCAAAAAGTGGTCCGATGTGGTTATGTAGCCATTCCTAGTCTGCCGGTAGGCAAGAGCACTGAACTCGTGGAAATGGTGGCGAAACGCGTACCCAAACCACGTCAGTCGTCTTGTTTCGATGAGCTTCAATGTTCCTGGAAGGTCATCGCAGTCAGTACTGAGTGTCTTATTTCAGGCGAAGTCCATGTATTTCAGTCAAGGAAACCTCTAAAGGTAAAGGTGGCTTAAGTCTTGCCGTTTTTATTCGTCTTCTACAGACATAGGTAAATGTTCATATCCATGCAGAAGAAATGACCGGACAGATGCACAGCGCGGGTGGGTAGTGAACGATTAAGGTATCTCAACTATCCGCGATCACACTTGAGGACATTTTTTGTAAACGCCATCAATGCTGGCGTCACCGTCTTCCTCAGACAACGCATTAGACAATGCCGAAGCCCCAGATTTTAAACTGTTAAATTCTCCAGGCTGACACCTATCAATAGTGCAGGTACCTTCTTTCGCACAGTCGGTGTCAGAGAATACCGTGGTTTATTCAGATCTGATAAAAAACCAACTGAGCAGTGGTCTTGCCACTCTGAAGCGCTCTCTTCTGCAGCATCCCTGCTCCTGTAGGTACCCCATGGATTATTTGTTCCCCCTTGCTATGCCACGACGTTCTGTGAACCAGATAAACGGCTTGACCAGAAAAACGTACACACCATAGCTCGGCTGTCGTTGCTGACGATGTCCACTGTGTGCTCCACAGCAAGGTAAAACAGCGGCGGTGACTTGCGCGTGAATTATTTTATAGCGATAGTCGATTTGCTCTTTATCAATCTCACTCTCTCATTCTCCCTCACCTGGACCCGATGTCAAGACATGGTAAAAAATACGGGAGGCTAGGGAGGGCGCAGGTGGATGGCACGGTCGAGCCCGCGTCTTGGCGTTCCAATCTACTTCCCTAGTCCACACAGAAAATGACCAGTATTTTAAGTAACAAAAAGAAATGGCCTAACGCGGCAGGGGACGCACCTAGGCGTGCCGTCCCACCTGTTTCGGAATACACGGGGTGGAAGTGACATAAGGCCACATTAAGAATGAGCCTTTGCAGCCTGACTCTCAGACCACAAGTCGGTCGCTCCACACAAACACACAACACTGGGCCATCTGCGAGGTCCAAGTTATGCCGACAGGCGGCCAAATTCCAAGCCAAAGCTTTTAGGGCACCGTGATAGCTTCAAACGCCCCAGGTTATTTATAGTGAGGAAAATGCGCTGGGTCGACATCCTCACTCTGACTTCCGATTCCCGGACCCCAGTCACTGGCCGGGCCGGTTAGCTGACAGGTGCGGGGAATGGGCGCGGAAGTTGACATAAATACTGAACTTGACTGCGCGCGCCAAACGCACGACCCGGCTCCGTTCAGAATGGGCCGTGGCAGAATGGCTCTCAGCCCATCAGTCCGTTACTAGACAGATACACAAATAAAACTGGGCAGACTACGTGAACTCAGTTGAGGCGTCAGTCAGCAGCCTTCCAAGCCACGGCGCTTGACGTAGCGTGATAGTCTCGAACTCGAATCACATGTGCAGCAAAGAAGCCGCAGGGAGATGGGGCCGAGACGCACACTTTCCACTTGTGGGGGAGGTGGCAGTTGGATGCTTGTGGAGAGTGATGGTGTTGTTTGATATGAGTGGGGGAAGGTGTGATGGTGTCGTGTAGCCGGCGGTTGTCTATTACAGGTTTTCTTGAATGCGCACGTGGCCCAATAGGCCCATGAGATGGCTGGATGTGCGGGTGCAGTGAGGGCAGTTGAGATGGGTGCGGTGAGTGCATGTTGGTGCTCCAGGCACTGGTTCGCCAGTCTCTATGCGATGGATTCACAAGTGACCGACCAGGCCGATGTGTGGGTGAAGGTGCGATCGCAATGAAGAGGGTTATGAAACAAGTCCACATCGCTCGTGGTGGCGGTGGTGAGGTTAATGTTTGCCAGTGTTTCAGGATTGGGCGCAGTGGTGGTGGGTGTAGAGGCCGTCGCAGCGCATGCTGAAGCGACGAATGAGGATGACAGTAGGGGTTCAGGAGTGCGGAAACCGTTGATTGTCGACGTGGAAAGCGAGGCAGATGTGGACGGGGGGATATCGGGTGGTGTCATTCATCCGAAGAAGTCCAAGAAGACCGATCGATGACCAGAACGTCCGCTGACATCGTGAGCAGGTCAAGGGCAGTTAAGCGTTAGCGTTGCGAGGCGAGGGCAGTTGAGATTTACGAGCTTCGCTTTTGGCTTTGGCGACGGTGATGTGGTTGGCTTCGTAGATCGCTGCGCCTGCCCTCACTGCTCTCCGCCAGGTTAGTCGATTCCAGGACGAGGAGTTCCCAGTTGGCCGGGTTGGTTTGCCGGCGCCTCAGGGGAGTCTTTAGGATATACTTGTAGCGCCGGACTGGCCTCCTTGTCGGTGGGAGCCCGTGGCCACGTCTCCATAGAAGAGTCGTTTGCGTAACCGCTCGTCGGCCATGCGCACAAGATGGCCGCTCCAACGCAGTTCCAGATGTCTCAGCATGGCGTATGTAATGAGGATTCCCGTCCGTTCCGGTACAGCCGTGTGCGGGATCCGGTCCGGGGAAGTGGGAGGGAAAAAGTATTGTTTCCTGTTTGATTGTTTCGACCGTGTGTTTAGCGTCTGCGAACCACGGTCGGCGCGCTGAGGACTTGATCCAAGCATCTGTTTAGGACCCATTTTCTAGCCCCTCCCCCCTCGCGCGGGTAAGCAATGATCTCCCTAAGTAGGGCTGTTCGGTCATCCCAGACGGCTGCCGAACTTCACAATGGGCCACGAATTTTATGTTTATTGGCAGAAAGACCCGAGTTGGCCTGGGCCACCTACGTGATCACTGTCGCTATCGCCGGGGGTCTTTTGAGCGGGGGGAAAGGTAGGGAGACGGGAAGCAGAGTTTCACCTCCCTCTCTAAGTTACCTGATTGCCGCTATATAAACGGTAAGAAAACACATTCCACAGAACGATATTTAGCTTGCAACAAGGACAAACGAGGTGAAAGGGTGAACGTCAGATTCTGGCTTGGCAGAAGGCACATAACATGCTTTAGCCTCCACCTCAGTGAGACGGCTTTGGCGAGGCCGTAAACACCCTGCCGTCACCTGAGTCATCGAGGTGTAGGCGTTCATCCCAGGAAGGATAGAAGTCACTCAGTCGATTGCGGCCTTAGTTACCCGCCCAGTCCTTCCAAAGATAGAAAACGTGGCCCGACTGCAGACAAAGCGCGGCATGTTAAAAAGGCTCTGGCAGACGAACTGCGTGCACGCACCAAAACTTAATGTACATGGGCGATTTGGTCATCTTGACAAAGGCCTGTCCGTTAACCAGGCTGCTAGCCCTGCACTGTTTATAGCGTGGATCGGTGGAGGGTGGGAGAGGCCGTGCACTTCGCTGTCTGCTCCTGGCGTAGAGATGCGTTCGCTGGCCTACCGGAACGGGGACAGACAAAAGCACGCACGTGACAGCGGAGTTAAGTGTAGTGAACCGTGGACCAGAAACAACACAATTACTGGGGTTTAGTTGATCATAAGTGAAACGTTCGTCTGTAGGTCATCCGGACGGTGGAAGTAAAATGCAAAAAATGCGATGTGTTGCGGAATCAACAATTCGCCCACTTTTATAGGCACCATGCTACCTGTGTGGTCACTCTCAGGTCACCCCTAGGCAAATTAGGCGAAGACCTCGTTGAGGTAGCCGGGCAGGACATGAGTATAACATGGAGTGATTCCTTTCTTTTTAAATTACACACGTTTGCGTACTTCAGGACTGTTTACTTGAGTAGCAATTTGTTGTTGTCGTTGTTGTTGTTGCTGTAACAGTTGGCTATAGGACGGCTCGAAAACAGGAATAAAATAGTTAGACTTGATGGCAGTTTCACTCGAAACGTTTTCATAGAGAAAACGGTCCCAGTTATTTTGCTGCTTTAATATCAAGCCCGGCCAGTGCCATCAGATAATTTGCCCTTCGATTCGGACAAAGCGCCATGGTTTGCGAGTATTCGAAAAACCACGTCTAGTAACCTTTGCTTTCACATAGGGTATAGCTTCTTTGTTGGGGAGGGTCACATGAATTACCCTTCCTGATAGGAACCACGACATGAAATCGTTCGTCAGTCAAGCAATGAGGTATGCCCAGAGAGCGAGATTTGCCATGTTCTACGGCGAGCCACCAGACGTTCTTTTTAGGTTGCTCCCTACTTTTTCCACATCACGATTAGCACGCAAATAGTGAGGAGAAATAAATAATTTGCCGTGCCACAGTAATTCGTGAACGGTGCACGTTTTCAAGCATTTTGAGAAACATTCGGTAATAACTTACGATCGATTAGATTCCTCCCAAAAGTCTGGAAACGACCTCACAGAGCGTCATAGGACACGCGGTAAGTTATACGCAGCACGTAGGCGGCGTCTAAAGCCTCGCAGGGGACCTCAAGCAACGAGCAAGCCGAACGGCTGACCAACATTATAGTCACCGCCGCCACCACCGCCGCCGCTGACAAGAACGCCTCCGTGGAGAACCGATTATGTCAGCTGAGGGACACGATCCAGTCAGCCGACCTGACTTTCCTCGATCACGCTCGTCGCTCGCACCAGGACTGGTTCGATGACAACGACGCCGCCATCAGCAACCTGCTGGCCGAGAGGAACCTCCTGCACAAAGCCTACGCGGACCGACCCACCGACGACAACAAAGCAGCCTTCTACCGTAGTCGCCGCCCTGTGAGACAGCGGCTGCGGGAGATGCAGGACGCTTGGACCGCTCACAAGGCCGAGGAGATCCAAGGTTACGCAGATCTCAACGAATGGGAGAATTTCTTCTCCGCGATCAAGGCTGTCTACGGTCCGCCAGCCAAAGCAACTGCTCCCCTTTTCGGAGCCGACGGAAGTACCCTATTCACCGAGAAGACACAAATTCTGCAGCGGTGGGCTGAGCACTTCAGAGGCGTCTTCAACTACCCCTCCATCATCTCCGACGCCGCTATTGCCCGTCTGCCGCAAGTGGAGACTGACGTTGACCTCGACCTCCCGTCCTCTCTCCACGAAACCATCAGGGTCGCGTAGCAGCTCTCCAGCGGGATAGCGCCCGGTACAGACGAGATCCCTGCTGAGATCTTCAAACGCGGTGGCCCATGCCAACCCATGGACCATCTGACGGCGATCTTCCAGGAGATGTGGCGTCAGGGAGAAGTCCCACAGGATTTCAAGGACACCACAATCGTGCATCTCTATAACCGGAGAAGGAACCACCAAATCTGTGACAACCACCGAGACATTTCCCTGCTGAACATCGCCGGGAAGATATTCGTTCGAATTCTTCTCAACCGCCTGAGCAAGCATCTAAAACAGAATCTCCTGCCGGAAAGCCAGTGCGGCTTCCATCGTCGCCTGGGAACCATCGACATGATCTTCGTCGCTCGCCAACTATAGGACAAATGTCAGGAGATACGGGTCCACCACTACTCTACCTTCGTGGACCTGAGGAAACTCTCCGACACAGTGAATGATGAAGGACTGCAGGAAATCCTGCCGAAATACGGCTGTCCCGAGTGATTAACTTAAATGGTGCGTTAGCTCCACGATGGTATGTCGGCGTGGGCCACGGACAATGGAGTCGTGCTAGACGCATTCGCAGTGACTAACGGAGTGAAGCAGGTCTGCGTCTTCGAATCTACCCTCTTTAGTCTCACGTTCCTTGTCCTGCTGATGGACGCATACGTGACAAACCCCTCGGGATCCGCGTCGCCTACAGGACGGACGGTCAACTCTTCAATCAGCGACGGATGTACTTCCAGTCGCGTGTATCCACAGCAGCCGTCCATGAACCTTTCGTCAATGACTGCCCTCTCAACGCCACCTCGGAAGGGGACATGCGAAGGAGCATGGACCTCTTCGCCGCCGCCTGCGAGAAATTCGGCCTGATAATCAACACGGAGAAAACGGTGGTCATGCATAAACCGTCACCCGACGCTGCCTACGTCACACCCAACATCAACGTGAACGGCACCCAACTGCAAGTGCTGGACAACTTCACCTACCTGGGCATCACCCTCACTCGCCATACCAAAATCGACAATGAAGTGGCCCGTCGGATTTCCAAGGCCAGCCAAGCATTGGGCCGTCTGCGAAGCACAGCTTGGAATCGACGCGATCTCCACATCAACACCACACTGAAGATGTACAAAGCGGTCATCTTGCCGACGTTGCTGTGGAGACTTGGACTGTGTACAAGAAGCAGGTACGAAGAATCAATCACTTCTACCTCAGCTGTCTCCTACAGATGCTGAAGCTGAGGTGGCAGAACCGGATCCCGCACACGGATGTACCGGAACGGACGGGAATCATCAGTATTTACTGCAACTGCACTGGAGCGGCATCTTGTGCACATGGCCGACGAACGGTTACGCAAACGACTCTTCTATGGAGATGTGGCCACGGGCTCCCACCGACAAGGAGGCCAGTCCGGCGCTACAAGTATATCCTAAAGACTCCCCTGAGGCGCCGGCAAACCAACCCGGCCAACTGGGAACTCCTCGTCCTGGAATCGACTAACCTGGCGGAGAGCAGTGAGGGCAGGCGCAGCGATCTACGAAGCCAACCACATCACCGTCGCCAAAGCCAAAAGCGAAGCTCGTAAATCTCAACTGCCCTCGCCTCGCAACGCTAACGCTTAACTGCCCTTGACCTGCTCACGATGTCAGCGGACGTTCTGGTCATCGATCGGTCTTCTTGGACTTCTTCGGATGAATGACACCACCCGATATCCCCCCGTCCACATCTGCCTCGCTTTCCACGTCGACAATCAACGGTTTCCGCACTCCTGAACCCCTACTGTCATCCTCATTCGTCGCTTCAACATGCGCTGCGACGGCCCCTAAAAACACAGACGTCGAATGAGAAACACTAAACACAGAGCGCATGAACAAACATAAACAATGTTCTCACATGCATGAGAGGGTCACAGATCGCTTGAGAAGGGGCCGTGACAGTCTGGCTCTCAGCCCACCAGTCCGCCAATCCACACATGCACAACCAAAACTGGGCAGACTGCGTGGACTGGGTTGAGGCGTCAGTCAGCAGGCTAGCTAGATAACTATACTCAATAACTAACTAAAATGTGGTGAGGTAAGTGAAATTTTCAAAGCGAGTAATTATATAATAACTCCTTATTTGACAAACTTCCTTAATGACATCTTCGGGGTCTAGCAGTGATTAGAAGTATCACTCAAACATAATTTTACAAAATCTAAACTAAAGAATAGTCCCAGAAGCCACCGCGGCTTGCATGAAAATGTTCAACCAATCGCAATTCAGTACTCTGAAACACGTCCGCAAATCGCGTTTTTTAATCACTCGCGTGTTTTTACCCAACCTTGAAGGTTGACGGCCCAGGCTAAATGCAGCGCCACCTGTCACCCTTATACGAGAAAGCGACCGAAAGCCTTTGCTATGCTTGTATCATCAAACTATGGCCCTCACTGCCTGGGATGCGCTGGCAGTTCCCTGACGGTAGATGCTCGTGCGCTCCGCTCTGTATATAGGTCGTGGGCATGGCTACCCTGTCATCCTCATCTTTCAGACCCCTTTTGGTGTGTTGCGGCTGTTGTTGTTGTTGTTGGTGAAAAATCCTGGTCGGGTGTATGTTTTTAACCAGGGGGTGTGGTGGCACGCCGAGGTTCGGCTCCGGCCGTGCCAGCCGCATGCGCCCTCCCCGCCTCCGGTTTTCTTGACTTTGTCTTGACACCGGGTCCAGGTGGGGATAGGGGGAAGAGAGAGTGCGGTAGCTGCTGCGAAAGTATAATATCACTTTAAACTAATTCAGACGCAAGTCATCGTGCCTGCGGCACCTTGCTGTATAGCACACGGTAGATATCGTCGGAATCGACGGTCGAACTGTTATGTAGACGTCCGTCAGTGCCACTGAGACGTGTATTGGCATGACCATTGCGCCAAATATGTAGTGGCAAGCTGACGTTGTGGAGCGATTGCGTTGTTGGCGGTTGTTGTAGTTCGCTGGTAATCATGCATAGTATCGGATCGTTCCGGCAGTAGTCAAACGAGGTCTCTGATCAACCCAATAATTTAACTATTCCGTGCTTTTATATACCTGCCATCGACATCCCGATTGGCAGACAGACTTTTTTTCTCCACCGGAAAGTGTGATGATTTGGACGGACTAGCTGTAACATGGAAGAAAAAAAGGCATCAACAATCGGCTAGATCACAGTTGGTAGTCAGGCCCCGTATTACAGGTGGGTGCGGGGTTTGTTTTCTGGGGCTATTTTGTGGGGTTCCGTAATCACATCTGATCCATTTGCTTCCGTTTAACGTTTAAGTTTAAGGTTGGGGTACCGGTTGATGGTTTCCGATTTTCGGGTTAGAGTTATACCTTTAAGCTTAGGTTTTCTGTTTACGGTTAGGGTTTGAGCGTACGATTAGGTTTCAGTAACACGGTTAGGTTTTCAATTACGGCTATGTTTAAGGGCTTCCGTTTACGATTTCGTTTACGATTCGGTTAGGGTTTACGATTTTTAACCGTTAACGATTTCGGTTAGGGTTAGGGTTAGTGTTGCCGTTAAGGATAACGGTTAACGTTTATGGCTGAGGTTAAGGTTAGGGTAAGGGTTAAGGTTAGGATTACGGTTAAGTTCGCCGTTAGCTTCCCCATTTCTGGCTACTAACTGCGATCTAGCCCACCAATCGTCTAGCCTGGATGTGACCTCCTGTAGCCCCAGTTAGTCATTGAAAATGTGGTGTACCCACTCCTTCCTCATGTATAGCGCAGAGGTACTTTATGTTGCCTTGGATGATCCCATCAAAGAACTGGGATTTCCCCTTATTATCAAACGTTCTATTCCAGATTACCCGTATTTTTGAAAGAGCAAATGTTTGGAATGAGCACGGGAATATTGGGGCGCTGACCGTTTGCCTTACGGGATAACCTTGTCCCGTTGTGCCTTGGGGCTCAATTTCGAGCCTGCCAGCAGCCGTATAACGGCTAGTAGTATAGGCAGAATAACATTACCGGCAAATACAGGGCACTGGACTACTAACCAGCGGGTCGTGGGATCGAGCCTCACGGGCTGAAAAGCCTGGGGAGGGTATGGCTGGCTGATGACGGCCAATGAGTTAGAAGTGACCAGTCCAGCCTGCCTTGTCTTTGTCGGTAGTGCTATTCTGCTATACTACTAGCTGGTGACATTTGATATTGAGTCCCAGAGCACAACAGGACGAGTGTTTTCTTCTACGCGATGGTTGAAGGCTACTCTACCATTATTTATATATGTATATATACACAAAATTTTATATATGTATATATTGGGGCTAACGAAAATCGGTGTCTTTCTAAATCAATACGGGGAAAATTTTTCACCAAGAAACACTTTCTTTTTGGTTCGTTATATATTCGTCATCGTTTTCAGACACTGTTTCCGACTTTGAAACTAGTTTTTTAAATATCCACTTTAAAAATGAGGTTTTTCCTAGTGCAAAGTTCCGAGAGCCCAGTTTTCACATTATGAGTATTTCTAAAATCTTCTCGGCCCAGCACATGCCGCAGTACTTTGGATAAATGATAATCGGCAAGTGTAAAATCAGGTGAATAGGGCAGGTAGGACAGAGTTCCCACCTAGGATCTTGTTCTGGTTTGTCGGCAAAACGCGATCCCACGTAACCATGCGGCAGAACGACGCCTTTTCTAATGATTAACACCGGATGTTTATCGTCAAGGACTTGGTCAAAACGTCCTTGTTGTTGACAATGTAGGTTAGCTGTTACGATCTGTCCCTGTTTCAGCAGCTCGAAATGACGCATATCCATCATACTTCCTCAAACTAATAGTAAGATTATATTGTGACATGAGGTTGATTTCGGCATAAGAACTGATGTCTTACCTGCAGAAATTCATTAGCGTTCGCGATTGTTGTTAACGTTAAGAGTTCATTTCTCATCTCCAGTGGCAATTCGATGAGGAAATGGATCACTATGTCGGCCGATTAGCAAAAAGTTGCAGATTGTTTTCTATCAAAAGTTGGCATGGGATAAAAACTCCCCGCCTACTGATCATCGCTTTCTGCTAAAGATGGTTCTGAACAGTAGACCACGGCAATTTTTTTTATAATTTCTCGATGGTCTGCCGAGGACCTGCCCAAACGGCTGCACGCAAATGTTGGAGCTACGATGAAGTCACTCTCCGTGTGCACATCACACGTTTTTTAGGTTGGATCGTTAGTTCAGTGCATTTACAGGTGTTTCAGGGCATACAGCGAAGCAAGCAAGCAAGTCTCAGAAAAAAGCACGCCGCCCACTCTAAATCCACGTCGAGAGTCCCCAGTTCACTATCTCCGCGGAAATACCATTGCACTTTTATGCTCCATTAGACGGTAGCACCTGACAAACGGCTCTGCGTTGTGTGAAACTGGTTAGTAGTCGTGCATGATGGTCAAGGCACAGTAATTGTGTAGTTAATGAGTGTCTAAGCGTCTTTCTTATCTGAAGGAGTTGGCCCAACAACTGATGGAGGACAGTCACCTCCCGAAACTGCCATATACAGCAGGTTACAAAATTCACGAAATGCGCATAAATTAACGAGAAATAATCAAATTATTTTGGGCCAACTGTGAAAAATTTGACGACCTCGGTGGGATCCGAACTCACGACAGCAGGGAGAGGATTTGAGTACAGCCAAGCTGAAAGCAGTTAGAACGCATCCACCACGCTAATAATGAACGACCCCTGGTAGTTTAAAGATGTAAGTACTATTTCGTTGATTGGAAAGAACACTTTTCTTAAGAGAAACGGAGATGTCGGAACCTCAAACATTCCTGTCACATGAGTGGACCCAAGTTTTAGAAGTAGAAAGGCTGACTAAGCAAGACGACATAAGCACAGTTAGGTTTAAAGTTATTTTTATATAAGCGTTCACAGTGGATGTCCTCCAAGAATTAGGGTTATGAGGTCTGGCGCGTAATGTCCGCTGACGTATTTAATGGTCTTGCTGGTCAACATCGATGTATTTATTCCGTTTCCGTATTGTTAGAGATGAGGTTGATGTCAAGGGTATGGTTTATGGCCGGGGTTACTCACACCAGTGATCATTTGTGTTAAGCAAGAGAGCTGAACATCCAAGAACTTTGTGGTATCACAAATTCTGACCCTCCGTATTGTCGCCAATTAAAAGGGGACACTATTTTTCACCACTTAATAACAATAGTAAAGGAATTTAATGCTACTTTGTAGGTGTTGTCGAAAAGGCAGTGGGTCGTCTTATTTTTACCCCGATGACTAC